AGACGATCGTTTCATCCTCTTGCGATCGTGCGGCCAGCCCAGCCTAGCCCTGCCTGCCCAGTTCGCCAACCATGTCCAGCACCAGCACACCAGCACACCAACACACCAGCACCAAGTCATCGAAACCCGAAACCCAGCAAACCAGCGGAACCAGATCCCCGATCCTGACCCCGATAACTGCGTCTCTCCATTCGACTCATGCTCCCCCTTCCCCTTTCTGTTTGAGACTGTCAATATTTACCCTCAGGTAGCAACTACGCAGATACCTGGCTTTTTTGTTTCCCACCGTTACATACATACATACATACCTGCACCCCCATTGCCAGCACCAGCACCAGCACCAGCACCAGCACAGTTTTATTCTATGTTTATGTCTATGACTTGTTTATTTCCTTTCTTCTCTTTTTTTGGAGTAGGAATCGGCCAAGAGAGTCAACCTTGGGAACGGGAACGGGAGTGAGAGATGGTTACGTTACTTACATAGGGCTGGGTGGGTGGCTGACTGACTGACCAAACTGAACTGAACTGAACTGACTTCACTTGACTGACGGCATGGCCTGGCCTGGCATGGCATGGCATGGCATGACAATGGCTGGCTGGCCGGATAGATGGATGGAATAACTTGCTTTAAACATACCCGTTCATACCATCCCAAATCATCCATCCATACTTTTCAACCCGCTTGCTTGCTGTAATGCCTTATCTCCGTACGTATGGACTGACGGGATGAGCCAAACAAGACGATATACCACCTGTACATTCGGAATAATACTTGTGCATACCTTTTGAACCTCTTTTCTTTTCTTCTTTTCCGCCGCTCAACTAGTCCCGTCCCGCTTCCTACTGTTAACTACGGACTGTCTGCCTGTTTGCTTGCTCTTATTATCCTCCCCCCCCCTTGGCCTAACCACGTTACGTTACTTACCGCGCCTTGTGGCTTGATGTTAAATATTCCTTTTTAACCTAGTATTCCCCCCCCCCCTTTTTTTTTTCCCACTTGGATTATCAGATGTTGCTCTCGGGCTATCTTCAACAAGTCTCCGTCCTCCACTTTTCTCCGGTTCCTGCATGTGTTGCTGCATACAGATGTCTGTTGCATAGTACGGAGTACGGTAATGAAGGAGCTGGTAATTTCCAACGTTCGGAGAGATAGTTGTAATCGTAATAGCTAATATCAGTTCGTTTTGACAAATGCTACGGAAAAGGCATGGCATTGCATAGTAATAAGGCATATTCCCATGGCTGTCCACGGCCGCGGCTTTGAACTCGCCTCGGACCAAATAGTGAACTATACAGCAGCGCAATGAAGGCCGCAATATTCTTCCAACGACTTGCAGCGACAAGCCTGAGCTCATCAAAGACTTACAGGAGTTGCCATCTTCCATCTTCCTCAGTATCGGATCAATATGACAAGTTCTACCGGTACACAAGCGGCCGCTCGCCAGAAGTCGCCACGATGGATTTTGTAAGACCCAGGTTGTCTTTCTTGCCTGTTCTTCATTGGCCCTGTTGTAGCAAGGGAGGGATTACTGGGCCAAAGAACGTTCTCTGATGGATATAGATCGGGGTCCATGTAAGTCACTTTATCTCTATACTCTCGATGTTTCCTACTGCTAAATTCGTTCAGGGCACTATCTGAAGCCCATCTTTCTCTTCTCAGAAAGTATCTACGAGTGGCTCCTTATCTTCTGCTCACAGACGACCCAGATCTCGTTGCATCTACCATATGGCATACAGATCTCTGTGCCGGCAACCTCTTTGTGGACAAAGGCCATATCACCAGTGTGATTGATTGGCTGGGCCCCTAGTTCTTCCAGGCCGTCACTCACGTCTAGTTAATTATGACGGTGATATAATGTTGGAACCGCCGCCGAATTTCAAGGAGCTTGAACCAAGTGAGAAGGCCCGACTGAAAAAGCAGATCGCCAGTTCCATAATTCTCTAATCTTTATGAACTGCAGACAGCGAAACTCAACACTAGTCTCAACAAAGTATTCCGTTTGAAGCTCGGGCGAGTAAGGTGCGAGCCTATAAGCTTTGTTGGCGACACCTGAGACGACGATATCCTGCCATTGCGCGAATCACTGATAAATGTGGAAGGGTACGTTGTGAAAATAGTCACTGGAATTACAGTATCTGATATATATATAGATATAGATATTGGCATGAGCTTGGATTCGACTTTGCGTGCCCAATTCACTTTACACAGGACGAGCTCCGGAGACACGTAGAGGATGGAGAAGGGTAGAATCAAGCGCAAGACTTTTGGAAAGCCATAGCGGGAATCGTTGCGCGTGATGGATGGACCCCACACAGCATGTATGATGAGGCTGTGGCTCTTTTTGCAGAGCTCAGGGAACTCGGGTTGGAGAACATGAAGGGAAAGGAGAGAGATGAATTTGAAGCACTGACGCGGTGGGTGGAGAGCTCTTCCCAGAGCCATAACGATGGATGATGCCCAAGTAAACCGTGGAATTCTGGGTATGATCAAAAGTCCTGCAGTGATGTGACTGCGGAGAAGTGGACTGCCTGACGTCACTGCAGCGTCTACGGCGTCTACGGCGTCTGCAGCGCCTACTCTTACATCTAGGTACGCAAGGTAACTCATCAATGCCTGAAAGACCCCCTTCATCTGCTAACGGACACACGGGGAGACATTAGGAGATCCTTCAGAGGAGTAGTGGGTGTGGTAGCAAGGGCTCAATCTACCATTTGGCCTCTAGTGCGATCTGAGTGTCCTCTGGAATCATGATGAACCTTGAGCATGAGCTAACTGTCGGTTAACTAGCTGGTTGTAGCTATATATCCGAGAAGGATCTGAGAATGAACTGGCCAGGGAGTCAACCAGGTAACTATAGGGGTATGGTAGTTTTCACCTTCAACGCATGACACTATTCTAGCCACGTTTGAGGGTCAATGATGCAAACATCGACAGACAAGAGCCATGGTGGCAATATTAGAGCTACGGATGATCATTCAAGGGTATTCAGACGTGCAATCAGGACCGTGGATGGAATCATCATTGATAGAGACGGATTTATAGTTATGGCCTGGCTCTGAGGGTCTCGAGTGGTGATAATGAGCTAGTCAGTTAACTAGTTAACAGGACATTCCCTGTCATCGTGGTATGGTCCAAGTAGAGCCTCGTAGAGTAGTCCGTTCGATATCTCTAGAGAAACATCTCTTTGCCATCCCCTTCATCCTTGCCCTTATGCCGCCTGTTATGCATAAGAGTTCGTGGGCGACTTCAAGTTCATCCCACGCCGGAGGTGGAAAATCTCCCTCCGCAACGCCCCGAACATCCATCTGGATTGGCAGCTTCAAAGTCGACCAGGCCGGGGGTTGGCGAAGGAAAAAGACCAAGAGGAAGACTCCTGGCCTCTCGTCTGGTCTCCTGCGATCTACCAACTACACCGACTGCTTTCAATGAAGCTGTGACATGGGCAGCGGCAAGGTCCACCAGGAGCCCATCGTGCTCGTGGTCGATTTCCACCATGCAAGGTGAGCCCGCGCCCACCTTTTCGTTCCTCTCTCTGGCTACGGAATTGGATCCATGCTATACCAGCGCACTAAGAAGAGACTATGCTAACTGCTTTGCTCCGTATAGAGGCCCCGAGGTTGAGTTCTGGTTCTGCGACGATGGCGTCGACCCCGTGAAGGAGAATGACTGGGCATTGCTGCCGTTCATGGCGCTGTCGGACGGAGCTCATGCGTATGGAACACCTTGTCCCGTTGCTGTAGCTAGCTGGCTAGTGAAACAAGCAGCAGAATAAAGAGAGGGAAGAGGCTTGGGAAGCGGGAGGCTGACTCGGGATGCATTTCATTAGGTCTACGGAAGACTTCTCCTACTTCACGCTGCAGTGCAAGGAGACCGAGAGTTCCCCGGCTACCTCTCTGTTCGGCATATCTTGCACCACCCAGCTCGACTCAGACAAGCTGATCAATCGCCCGGCGGAGGTGACGCGGTCGACGGTGCAGAAGGCGGTGGTGGCTATCATAAATGAGCCTAGGCATCTGGGCCAGCTGAGAGAGAAGCTGTCGATTGTCACCTCCGCATGGTTTGCTCAACGGTACGCCTCTGTTCCTTGAATACGGAGTATGAGGCTGGGATGGTCACTGACCCCGGTTATAATAAAATAGGGACTTTACCGATACGGATATCCTCCAGGTATGCGGGACATCGTGACGTCAAGAGTGTTTCAATATGCTAATGCTATGGGTAGAAATTCTGGGAAGGATTGAAGATCAGTCTGAAAAACGAAGATTTGCACAAAGACGAGCATTTCGGCCTTTCTTTACGAGAGATGATACATGAATTCAAGCACCAGACTTTAGTTTTGTTTAAGTGTCTATTATTACAGCCAAAGGTATGCCATCCATCGCCTTTGACTAGTTATCTATCAAATACGAGCATTACAACTAACTTCTTCGAGATGCTATTTTTTGGTTCCAGATGCGAGCGTTTATGCATGATACAGTTCTCATTAATTTCATTGATACCCGGCCTTATACATAATCTTCAGGACTGCGCTGATCCTGCTTATGACTCCTATGCGCAGACGGTTGAGAAACCGAGCTCGCTTAAAACTAGCGAGAGAAGTTCACGTAAGGCTGTCTCTTTCCTGGATTTATATTAAAGACGGAGAGTATCTAATTGATTTCTGTCAGTCCTTGCATATATGGGGCTTCCGCTTCAGATATTCGGCAAGGGGAGCATGTTTGGACCGTATACGCCGCTTCAACAGCTGGATCTTCTCGCCGACTATGGAACAAAATCGTACCTTGTTGGCTCTACCAACTCGCTGCTCTTGCAGCAAAAGGATCGATACAGCGATATATTAATAAACGTAATTGCTTTCCAAGATTGCCTTAATCCGCCACATCACTGACTTATAGTTTATATAGCTTGACGAGGATACGGTGAACATATCGTCTCCATCGCTACGGGCGGCCCTAGCCCTTTCGGCTGCTGATCGCCGATGGATCGATTTCCTTACCCAGACAATAAACGATACCTGGGATGAAGCACATCCTGCACAGCCAAAGACCCATGGATACATGGGATCTGAAGAGTTCATCCGTCTCCAGTTTGAAGAATACCTTCTCGCTCTGATCTCATGCGTAAAATACCACGATGAGATAAAGTCAGGAGGCGCAATTAAACAGCCTGCCAATGACATCGAGGGTGATCCCGCGCTGGATTTTAACCTCGACTTCATCGAACACTGGCGCCATACCCCTAACTTTGCGCTCTTTGACAAACTCACTTCCGACGCCCTGCTCTTCTCCGTAGTCGAGCTACGCCACCCGTGTGCGGGCGGGCTCGGGATTGAAGATATCCAACGGCGGCTGGCACAGCAAGTTGCAGATCTCCATCTCGACGAACGAGTGCGCGAAGGTCGCGAAACACTCAACAAGCATCTTGCCACGGGTCATCAGAAGGTCACCACCGCCTTCAACACTCTCTGGGCGGAGCTCGAAGCAAGACGCGAGGCTCAAAGAAAACGCAACGAAGAAAGGGCAAAGCAAGCTGCCGCAGCATCCATCACTGCGGCGCTGGATACAAGCCAAGCAAACAACAACAATGACAGCAGCAAGCAAGAATCAGGCGGCCCTGGTTCTCCAACCCCAGCTTCACCCACCCCATCGACATCCGGGTGGTCCTTTGCTGCGCGAAAAGCTCCCGCTGTGGACCTGACGCAGGCCCAAGCCACTGTTTCCGCGGCTGGCCAGCGAGCTTCCGCGTACTTTAGTTCGTGGGGTTCGTGGGCGAACGAGCGTCGAAAGGAGTGGCAGACAAAGAACACGAGTACGGGCGCAAGTCCCGTTTCATCTCCGACAGCCACCGGAACGCCCAGAGCGTCGATGACGAGTACCTTTCACGAGAGACGATCGATGGAGAGCTCGACGAAAGGCCCTGTTATGACTGAGATGAAGGAGATGCAAGCCAAGGAAGACGTTGATCGGCCGGGGTCGTCGAGGCCCCACAGCAGCGATCAGTCAACGGAGAAGGACCATATAGATGCCGTGTTGGAGAGTGACCCTCTATCTTCGACTTCTCGTGAAGCAAGCAAGACTCCTGCAACCTCTTCCTCGGGATAAGAATTCATACATACATTTGTTGATTTGAATTGGATATATTTCTTCCTTAGCTTCTGACAAGGCACATATTGGATGGGTAGTTTGTTTGATATTAGCGTTGTTTAATGCATTACCTTCTTGAATAAAAGACCTTTCACTTTTCTTCAAACAAATACCTACAGCTACGAGATGTTGGTTCAGAATTATAGAAGGGAGGTTGGTTTATTTTTTGTACTCTAGAGCACACATAACTGATTTAGAAGTAACCTAGTGTGAAATGGTAGGCTGCGCACTAAGTGCAACAATATAGGTAGATCAGTTGTAGGAATGAGAGGAAGAAGAAGAAGGGGAAGGAGAGGAAGATAAGGAAGATAAAGGGGAGTCAAAGGGCAACTGACAAGAGAGAGTGAGGGTAAAACATGTCTGCGTTCGTAGTGGCTGCGCAGTAACAAAACAGTCTATTGATGCACTCCCTCTTCCGGCCCACCCCCCTTTTTTTATTATTCCACGCGCTGTCAAAAGAGCAATAACAGAAAACCGCCTGTATATATGATACAAGGAGGGAAGAGGAGGGGGGTTGAGAGGGAGTGTAGACCAGAGTATGTTGCGCATAAGAAGGATATTTAAGTCATTGGATCATGTACCGTGAGAGCGCGCGCCATGAAGGCGAATTTTGTGGTTTGTGGTTGGTTATTTGGTCAGTTGTTGAATTACGCGATGTACGATATTTCATCGCCATCCAGACGCTCGATGTATTCTTTCTCCATCAAGCCTTCGATATTCTTCTTAATGTCAGAGATTTTGGGTGGGAACCGAGCGCTGACCTGCTGGATGACTTCCTGTACAAGCTGGACATGCTTCATGCGCTTGCGGGACTTCATGATACGCACAATAGCAGACTAGAAAAAAAAAGTTAGAAAGTGAATATATAACGAAGGGATTGTAGATACTATTTCTTACCTGGAGAACCAATTTTCTGTCCTCCTCGACGGTCTTATGTGTGTCCTCTGCCTCGTGCTTCTGCTCAGACTTGACTTGGATGTTCAAGTTAACCTTGATCTTCTTTGCTTTAAAGTGGTAGTTTAGTGCGTAGGAAGTCCCTGGACCAGGTTTTCCGTTCTCAGGAGAAGGAATGAGAACCTTTGCCTTGACGAAGATGCCGAGGTTGGGGTCTAGGACATCGGGGGAGAGGGCAGTGGCCTTTTCGATCTCGGAGTATTCAAAGACATCGCTGTCATTGTAGAGTAGAAGAATGCCCATTTGGTAGGTCGATACCTGGAAAGTGTATGGGACTTTAGTGTTCTTGACATAGTTTGCTTTGATTTCGCCCTTGCACAGCTGCCAGAGCCAGGTCAGCTTACGACCGCTGTGCTTGTCAAAGTAGAATGACTTGAAGCGCTCGACTGTCTTGTTGATGACCTGAGGAGGAATAAACTGTGTTGAAGGGGGGTTAAGGGGCCAGAAGCCTGTACCGAGGATCTGGAAGTGAGGGTCGACCATTTTCTTGCGGTCTTCTTCGTCAAAGGTTCTCTCCTGCCACTCGCGGTAGTTGGTGTTTAGATCCTTTGAGATCTGGATATCCTGGAACATTCGCTGGAGTTTGTTGGTGTATTCGAACCCACAGGCTTCCTTCAATTTGCTGATCATGCTAGTTTCAGCATCGTCAGAGACGGAGCTGACATGGACGAGTCGCTTGGCGAGCATTCGAGAGTAGAACTTCTGGAAGACATCCTTGTCTTCGATGTATTTAAAGACGGTCATTATCTGGACGAGAAGCTCCTCGAGCTCCGACTCTTCGGATGACTTGGAGCCCTTCTTGAGAAGGGAATCGGTGTATCTCGCCAGCAGCTCAGGGGATTTGGTTGAGCTGGTAGTGCAGAGGGCATTACGGTTGACGAATTCGCGGCAAGCATTGTCCAAAGACCGAACAAACTCTGTCTCACCAGCAAATGCTTCATCTACCATGGATCGGTACTTCCCATGTACCTGGAGCAGAGAGTCGACATAAACTTTCGGGTCAACGCTTTCGCTCCCAGCGGAGGCTACCTTTGCGATTGCGGACAGGCCAGCCTTCCGGACGTGGGTCTCAAATCTGTTCCTTAGTGGGTCCAGGCCATCCTTTATTTTTGACAGCAATCGGTACATTCTGGCAAGGTCATCCTGACGTTCAGCATCTAGGAGGGGTTGGAACTCGTCCCGTATAAGGTTGCAATGCGAGGTAACTAGAACATCCAAGCAGGTCTCTGTCAAATTCTTGGTAACGTCTGGGTGGAGGTATAGATCGATGCGAGCACGTTCTTCCTCTAGGCGAAGCTCTGCCTTCTTCATGTATTCGACAACGCTGTTTTCGGCCACGAAGCGCTTTGACTCTCTGTCATAGTAGACTCTGGTGGCCTCGATGAACGGTTTCTCAAAGTAGTACTGGTAGACAACGAGGGTCGACTTGGAGGTATCGCTCTCGTCCAGGCCAAGGGAGACGAATGAGTTGACAATGTGCTTTATCTGGGACTGCTCGATGGTCTCGCCGTTACGCTGCTTCTCGATGAGGCCCAGCACGGCGCTCATGACATTTTCGTGGACGAGTCTGAAGAAGTCCTCCTTCCACCTAACGAGGTGTAGGGTGTACACATCGTAGATGTCCTTCTTGCCTTCGTCGACTTCTCGTTTCACCCAGTGGCGGTTTAGATATCTAAAAAGATGGTTAATATATTTGGCAGCTGTAGTGTATCGAGTCCATTCTCTAATGTAAAATGAAAGGAGGGGTTCGTCAGCGTGGCTGAGGGAGGCTTCGTAGACACCTCCAAGATGACGGGAGAGATAGTGTCCAAGAAGGTTGTAAAGCTCTTCACCTAGCAGATGTGCTGTAACCATATTGTCTGTCAGCTAAGCTTCATTTGGTTTCAGGCTGGTAGCTGACAGCTCACCTCCTCGCGTGTTATGGGCGGACGTATTGTGGCTAGTGAATGCCTTTTGTGAAGTACAGAAGTTATGGACGGCACTGTTGATAGTGATTAGTACCCTGTCTCTCTGGTTGGCTATCCAGAGTGAGTGAAATAAGGGGAGGACCAACGTGTAAACACCCATGTACTGGAAACGAGGTTAGCTATATTAGTTGCCTGAATGTATATTATAGAAGAACACATCTGTCCCGCCCAAAGAAAAAAAGAGTTGAGGGAGCCTTACAGAAGCCATATCAATACCACTGTTCAGATCAGTCATCACCCTCTCGATTCCCTGCTCGAGAAAGGTCCATCTATAGGCAAGATGTCGTCAGCTCACGCGTTCACCGCAATACTCCGGAGGGGAAGAAGCTCAAAAAAGAAACTGACGTTTCGTCCAGGTCATCTCGATGAGGCGTCGTGAATTTGGGTGGAGGCATATCTGTCGACGCTGTAGGGAGATCTGAGAGACAGAGACAGTGTAGAATAAGGGCCTGCAACGGAGTCACTCGAGGAGCAGCTGGGCGGCTATCGCGGTGGGCTGGAGTCTCTCAGGGGAGGAGAGGGCACGCAGCAGAGCGCTGTCACAGAGTAAGTCACAGCCGCCGCAGAAAATCTGCCACAAAACGAGACAGGCTTTGCTTCTCGAGAGCGCCAGGCAGGGTCTCAGCAAGAACTAAAGCGCTTCTGACGGACCGAGACAGCGTGTGCGAGTGAGCCAGAAGTTCGTTGCGTGTTCGACGTCGGCGAGGAAGACGAAGAAGACGACGAAGAAGAAGAAAGCGAAAGCGAAGGACAGGCTGCAGCTTACATAAGCTAAGTTTGGGGGCGGCAGCTTATCGATAAGAAGATGACGTCGCTTTTTTCTCTTTCGTGATATTTAAAGCTGGAGAAGGCGAAGATGACGATGAGGATGACAGCAACAAATATCTACGGTGCAGTTATCAATATTGATATAGCTATATTGGTGGAGAGCTGCAGACGACGATGGTCCGGCCGCTAAAGGAGCTGCAGGTCACGGAGCGCCTGATCCCGGCCTGGGGAAACTTCCCCAACACCTCGATCCAGGAGAAGCCGCTGCTCATCTACCAGTCTGTCTTCGACTCTGCCTCGCCCGACGCCGTCAGAGAGCATCTGGAGGCCGTTGGCGCCGTCGTCCCGCAGTGGACGTACTCGATGTACCCTGCAAACCACTTCCACTCGAACACGCATGAAGTGCTCAGCGTGGTGGCCGGACAGGCGAGGCTCTGCTTCGGCCACGAGGAGAACCCAGACAGATTCGAGACCACCGTGTCGAAGGGAGATGTTATCGTGGTGCCGGCTGGAGTGACCCACTGCTTGCTCGCAGACACACAGGGCGACTTTGCGATGATAGGGGCGTATCCGCCGGGGAAGCAGTGGGATCTGTGCTATGGGGAGGAGGAGGTCGACAAGCAGGCGCCGGTGATACGGTCTGTTGGCTGGTTCGATCGGGACCCCATATACGGCGACTCGGGCCCAGTTCTTGCTGTTTAACAAAAAACAACAGAAGACCAAAAAAAAAAAAAAAAAAAAAAAGCAGCAGATAGGACAGATGTAACAGAATGACTAAGATGTATACTATGATTTTATGTAGTCAAGAAAAGCAGAACTGATGGATGCATCCAAAAGGGGGAAAAAACCAAATGCAAGGTGACTGGACAAAAAGGGGACAGGGGGAGAATAATTATTGACACCGGGTCCAGTAAAACAGTCTTCCCAACCCGTTGTAACAAGATGAAAGCAAGCAATGATAAACAAAACAAAACAGATATTCCAGCGATAGATGCAGTAAAAGGGGGGAAGCAATGGGGTTGTATAGAACTAGAGCGACAGAGTTATCTATGGGTGCTGAAGGAAAACATGTGGCAACATGCAGCGTAGTGATGCTAAGTAGCAGTGACAAAGGGAGATAATTGCATGGTAATAATGATGTATATAGGAGAGTGAGAGTAAAAAAGATACTACTTGGCTGCCACTCGCTCGATGACCCTGGAATACGGACGTTAGCAGCGGCAGAGGTAATCGAGGAATGTACGGGGGGAAACATACCGTAGAGCACTGATCATGAAGGTCATGAGCCAGGCAACCAGTACAACCAGCAAGACGGCAGCTAGTACCTTTTGTCTATCACAGATCTTGTCGTTTCTGGGGTTGATGGTGAGATCTATATCTCCACTGGAGCATGAGCCATTCACATCAGACAGAGAAGCAAACGCTAGACTGAGATTCGCCGATGCAAAGACAATAAACACCAAGTCAAGGAAGATCAGCCGTATCTTTGCGCTGGCTGACCGCAGTCCAAGTGGTTTGCCCGTGTACTCATCATACGTGATATAGACCAGGTAGACAAGCGCAATTGCATCGAATATGATGGCCATGAGCGGAGACGGTCCCTGGGGCCGGCTATGTGTCGTCGAGAGATGTCGAATTGATCCGCCCAGCGAGAGGGCGATGGCCGAGAAGATGAAGACGGTCAGACGGATGATCAAAGGCACCATGGGGCTGTGTAGGATCTTGTACTGGAACCCCTTCATCCATATCTTCCGCCGCTGGATGAACGTGGCCGACTGCCGGGCGCTCTCATCTGCCTTCTCGTCGATATACCCCTGCCATGGGTCGGAGTAGTCGCCAAAATTCCGGTTGAGCCAGTCTGCGTCGACTATCTTGTTCTGTTGATGCGTCGGCTCTCGGGCCTGCGGTACGGACCGAGTGAATGTCTTCCATCTGGACTCCTGCGTATACTGTGTGTATAATCGGTTTCTTTCCGAGAACTCTCCTTCTCCTTGCTCTATATCTTTCTCTCTCCGGGACTCTCTGTCAAATGCAAAGTCCTTTGCCTTGGGCGAGTAATGGTGGCTGGCAACATGGACGTCTCCTGGCGGCACTGGGAATGACTGTGATTGTGACGGTGATCTTGACTGTGATGGTGATTTCGACGGCGTCTCCTCGTCCTCGGCGTGTTTAACCCAAGCTACGCAACTGCAGTCAGCCTGACCGTCCTCAATTGCTCGTTACAATAACGATAGATGGACTTCCAACCTACCTGGCACGGAACGGACAGCCAGCTTCCCCGAGCCCTGCGTCCGCGGTATCGATCCCTGGCTGTGCGGCGAGTAGCTCTTGGAGGACTGGCCGTGTCTCGAGCTGCCTATACGCTGGTATACCGACCTCTGCTCGTCCGACTGGCTTGCTCCAGAGACCGACTGGGCGGATCTGCGTCTCGACAGCGGCGGCTCCAGCAGCTTCAGGTCTGCTTTCCGCCTCGGAGAGCCTCCCCGGGACGTCGACCGATGCGAGCGCGCCGCCGCCTCCCCCGGTGCTGCCATGTAAAGGCCCTGCTGCTGCTGCTGCTGCTCCTCCTCCCTCCTCGCGGTGGTCGTCTTCTGGGAAAAGGGGGTCTCTCTTCAGATGTCCTGCTAAGCCCGCTGCCGGATCTTGCCAGCGCGGCGCATGGTTCCGCTTGACGGCCGGGCAGCGAGCGATTGGGGGAAACGAGCGATGGTCCTGCTGGGACGGGCGACCTGGACGGCTATCTACCTCTCGACCGGCCGGCCTCCTGCTGCTGGCTGGCTGGCTCTCTGGCTCTGCTTGCTGGTGCTGCTGCTGGTGCTGCTGCTGGGCGGCGCTGCGAGGGACGACGAAGGATGTTTTCTTGTTGCTTCTTCCTCGCCAAGGGGCTAACCCGGGGGAAAGGCTGGTAGTTCGTTAGTTAGCTGTGGAGGCGAAAAGGCGAACAAGCGACGAAGCGAAGGCCGCCAGCGACAGCGACGACGAAAGTGACGACAACGACCGCAGGCTCAAGGACCGTGACGCTGCAGCTATTCGGTCTCATCCCGCTGGCAGTCGACCCGCCGGGCGCAGCAGAGGTGGCGGCTGAAGATGCACTTTCAAGTCCGGCCGTTTGATCGATCGAAAACTTATACAACTGTATAACTAGAGAAGCCTGCGCAGGCCGACGGCAGAGAGACAGCAGAGAGACAGCAGAGAGACAGCGACGACAGACGCCCGGGTCCACGATGCGTCTCTTCCTGATCCCGATCTCGACGGGCCGCACGCTCATTTACTGCAAGAAGCTCGACGCTGGGGTGGCGGCCAAGCAGCTCAGCTACCTCGACCGCGTTACGAACAAGGTGACGGCGACCTGGGCCAAGTGGGAGACGGCAGAGAAGGGCTGGCAGAAGACGCTGGTCACCTACGGCCACCGGGCGCTGCAGCGGATCCCCTACGAGGAATGGGGGCTCAAGAGCGTGCCGCCGCTGAGCTCGCGGCGGGAGGCGGCAGAGCGGCAGGCGCGCAAGCCCGTCGAGCTGCTGTACCCGAAGAATGCGATCAAGTCGAGCAGGGTGATGGGCCTGCTGCAGCAGCTGGCCACGGAGAGACAGCAGCTGCACCGCAAGCGCATGTGGTGGAGCATCGTCGTTGCGCCCTTGACGGCTCCGTTTGCGCTGGTACCGGTGTATGGGGCACAATCTTATATTATAACTGCGTCCTGCTGAATTGATACGGGACGGCTGTGCTGACAGTCTCTCTAGGATACCGAATATACCCTTTTTCTTCTTCTGCTACCGCGGCTGGTCGCACTGGAGAGGTTAGTTGCAGGCCTGGCTACTACAATGGTTGTCTACTAACTGATTGATACAGCATTGGGAGGGTCCAAACATCTGGAATTCCTGCTAAAAGAGAACCTGATCCGGCCGAGATCACTGACGGACCTGGAGAACGTCTATCTACGGCACTACCCGCGCAGGGACGGGGTGGAAGATACGACAGCTGACGAGAAGACTGCGCCGGACTGTGATGACGGCAACTGTGGAGAGGAGGTGATGCTGCTCAAGGACACCGACGGCAAGGCCCTGGCCAAGATGCTGGACGCCCCCGAGCTCGTTGCTGAGGTCGAGCGAGCCGTCCATCAGGTCCAACAGCAGCTGGACCAGAAGAAACAGCCTTGACATCCCATCAACCCCCTATTTTGGTCGCATATAAACGTCCACTTTGCCATGTATATTACTATGTTTACGCCCCGTATAGACCTAGTCAGACGCATCACGAGTCCATGCACCCTGGATAAACTAATGATCTCTTCTTCTTTCCTCTTCTTTATCCAAATATCAATATCAATATCAAATATCACATCCGCTTCTTCTACTGCAGGATTTAATATGTTCCGCTGACTAAGCCGAAGCTCTGCCATCGACGATAAGCAACGACGAAGCGACGACAAAGACACAGCAGACAAAACAAGCGGAGAAGACGAAGAAGAAGAAGAGAAAGAAGTGCAATTAGAGGCTGTGCTGAGGCTGCGTATGCTACTGCACCATGGGCGAGAAGAAGATAGAGCAGTGGGAGGTCGAGCGGTACTGGGAGATCTTCTCGTCGCTATCTAATGGCCAGCCACGACTCAACAACGCGCAAGCGGCCACCGTCCTGCGCAACAGCCGACTGCGAGATGACCAGCTGGAGCGGGTGTGGGATCTGGCTGACGTCGACGGAGACGGGGAGCTGGACTTTGAGGAGTTTTGCGTGGCCATGAGGCTGATCTTCGACCTTGTCAACGGGGTGTGTTTTAACTCGGGGGGCTCTACTTTGCGGAGATACATATATGCTGACAGGCTGCTGATGATATAGGAATATAACGATGTACCGCCTGCTCTACCGGACTGGCTGGTTCCAGAGTCAAAGGCACATCTCGTCCAGGCCAGCAGGGCGCTGACCGGCTCACAACCGCAATTCGAGAGAGTAGAGGACGAGGACGATACCCCTGGCCTCAAGGATGGCTTCGACTGGTACATGGCGCCCCAGGACAAGGCCAAGTACGAAGAGATATACTCTGCCAACAAGAACCACCGGGGAGAGATAGCATGTACGCTTTTTTCTTTGGCCATGTACTTATCGAATAATTACATGGGGGGCTATGCTAACTGCGTTGTCTAGTCTCCTCATTACAAGACCTATACGACTCCCTCTCAGTACCAGATACAGACATCCGCTCGGCATGGAACCTAGTCAACCCATCCGCCTCCTCCACCATCTCCAAAGACGCAGCCCTCGCCTTTCTCCACATCCTAAATAACAGACACGAGGGCTACCGTATCCCCCGCAACGTCCCCGCCTCCCTCCGCGCCTCCTTCGAATCCAATAAGATAGACTATCAGCTCGATAATGTTCGCACAGCCAAGAAATGGGGTGTCTCTAGCAACGACGACACAAGTACAGGCCGCAAAGCCAAGTTCGGTGATGCATATCTAAGCCGGCTAGGCGTCGGAGGCAAATCAAGCTATCAGCCCCAGGGAACAGATTTCAGTAATACCATACAAGACGAAGAATGGGAGAAAGTCCGTCTACGGCGAGAGTTGGCGGAGCTAGATAAAAAGCTGGAAGCAGCCAATGCGGCTGTCGAGGCAAGAAAGAACGGCACCAGGGCGCGGACAGACGGGCCTAATTGGGCGCTGATCAAGAAGGAAGCTCTGCAGATGCTCGAGTATAAAGAGCGTGAGCTGCGGGAGCTCAGAGAAGGAACTGGACGGGTTAGCGAGGGCGAGAGCCTTGAACGCATCCGGGCTGATGTCAAGGCCGTTGAGGAGCAGGTTGAAGGCCTCAAGGCCCATCTAGCGAAGCGTAATGAAGTCTTGTCGGACCTGCGTGATCAAGTGCAAGAGGCCAAACGGTCTCGATAGCGGCTATCAGCTGGCTTATTTTTTGATATAGTATATAACTCCATTTGCGCCCCTGTCCCCCTTTTCTAACGCATTGCAGACAGTGTATTATGCCTGTATCCTTTCTTGGATTTATTCCTCTCTAATGATATCTTATTATATTACACGGTGGCTCCTGCAAGATAGCTTCTACGCTTTTTCCCCCATATCAAAAAAAAAAAAAAAAAAAAGGATATCCTA